GTGTGTGTGTGTGTGTGTGTGTGTGTGTGTGTGTGTGTGTGTGTGTGTGTGTGTGTGTGTGTGCGAGAGTGCTTGTGGTGTCTGTCCATAACATGCTCCTGAACCCCAGAAAACTTTTTGATACGACGATTTAAACAAGTTGAGATATATGTGTTGGTGAGTAGAATGTGAACCCAAATATACTGACTGCAGTTGTGTGATGCTGTTTTTTTCCTCTTTCCTTTCTTTCTCCATCAAATTTTTGAGTGGTAGCCACAAGATTATGGTGTAGATCTACCAGACGTAAATCAGCTCCTGATTTCCCTTTTGTTTGAGGGAGTGGGAGATTCAACCTCACCTTCTACAACTCGCCAAAATCCTCATTGATGACCCCCTTTTCGCCTGCTTTAGCCTGTGTGTGCCCTCCGGTACTGATTCTAATGTTCCATCATGACATTTTTTGTGGCATTCCCATCTAAGTCTGCCTTTCACCGTTTTGTTTTTCACTCCAGAGTATTTGGCATGGAGTCTGCTTTTTTTTTTCTTCTCTGCGATTTGTTTTTGGACCGCGCACAGGTAGGTTTTTCTCTGGATATTGCAGCAGGTAACATGCTTCCTGTGTTGGTTCTTCTCCCCCCAACCCCTCCCTTTGTTTCCTCAAAGGGCTCTTCTTTTGTGGTTTCATTGCGGCCATTCTTTGAGGTGCTCCCAAGGTAGTGTGAGTGCCCATTTATAGACTAGGTGCAGCGATGCCGCACTCAAGGAAAAAGCTCGAATCTAGAGTAGTTCACCGAGGCCCTATTTTCTGGTCGGTGCAAGTCGCACCTTGCCCTCCGAGTCCGGTGTGTGTAATCTAAGAAGCACAACAATCATTACGGGGAAAAAGAGCACAATAATGTAGCTCCAATGTTGGCGGTTAGTACGCACAAAAGATGCGAATGGTGTAATGGACTGTGATTTTGTGTAGTGTCTTGCGCTCTGGCCGTAATCAACTGTAGCTATAATTAGCACGTGGATATGGCGATAAAGCTAAACGCCATAACCGCATTGATATGATGGGGCAAAGCATCTGCCAGGCACGTCGTATGCGATGGCGTTCAATTACTTGGCCGACGCTCGAGAGTCTATGCCTCTGATCTGCCTTGCGTTATGCCGCACGGATTACTGAACCTGTGATCTGGATATGGTGCGGAGGTGGTGAGCGAAACCGATTACGGCCGCGGTAGAGGTGGAGATTTTATTCTTCCCCATGGATCGCTCTATCTCAGGCTTAACTGTTTTCGTCCTCCTGCTGATGAGTTTGGAGGCTTGCTCCATAGGCGGTGTCGGAAGAGTATCTGGAGGAGGAGGAGGCGGAGAAGGGGGGGTTGGAGGCAGAGTAGAAAGAGGAGAGGGAGGTAGAGCAGGAGGAGGAGGAGGAGGAGGGTACAATGAACAGAACGGATCATCACCGTTGTTATCATGGAGGACTACGACTGCGCTGACGTCCGGAAGTAACCACGGTTCTATACTTAGTGTCAATCCTGTTGTCGGAGTGGAGGCTAGGGTGCTGATAGGGCCACCATCGCCGTCTAGCATCGTTGTCCTGAACCTTGATCTGGTAGATAGTGGCGGTACAGCTGACGCAGTGCTCAGCGAACCAGCTGCGCCGCCCTTCGACGCTCCTGCCACTCCGACATACTCATGCTCGTCTATCATACAGAACATTGTCGTACATCAGACGCAGACGCACTTTTTCTATCTCCTTAAGGAGATGTGCTATGACTATGCTAATAGAACGGAACTCTTGACTCGTTATTCCGTCCGCAGGGCAGATCTCGCGTCGCACAGCGAAACTGTAGTCGTGGGTAGGCAATTGCTAACCTACTGGTGGCTCGCTAACAATGCCAGCGGAGATGCAAATAGATCTCCTGATATCGACGGGATTGGCGCGATTGGAAGACAAGCTATGGCATTTTTGTACGGTTCCATGGCGCCATCGACAAATGGCAAGTACCTGCTCCTCGCAACCGGGATCAAGTACGGAGTCCCATCGCATATCGTGTTCCTGAACGCAGAGAACGGCAGCAGATTAGCGTTCAAAGTGGACGCCTACAACCCGCAGAGCGTGGCATTCGATGCCAGGACGAGCCGGCTGTACATTGCCGACTTCAAGCCTAACGAAACTCTTCGCATTCTCTCTGCAGTCCTGACAATCGGTGAGAACGATCTTCCGACAGGCCGTGTGATTAGCTTCGGCAACGCCGCGACATTTACACCGGCTTCCTATCCGACGATTAAGGATGTGCAGTTCGGCGCGCAGAGCCTAGACCCAGGGGGGCTATGCCTCTACGTCGGTGACGAGAAGAATCACACTGTCCGGGCGATTAATCTTACAGCGCCTGATGCTTCCAGTCCTATCGTTGTGGCGGGATTGGGAACGAAAGGAGACGATGATGGGGATGCTTTGAAGGCGACTTTCAGCAGTCCGTTCGAGCCCGTTGTCACAGCCGATGGGTGCAACTTATTCGTGGCTCAGGGTGGCGGCACTACCGGGAGACTGCGATGGGTAACTCTCGACTCGCCGTGCAGTCGAGCGCGCAATGTCAGCACTGTGGCCGTCTATCCATCCAAAGGCTTACGGAGCTTGGCGCTGAATGACGACGGTACTTACCTTCACCTGTATGTGGGAACTCGCGATGGACACGTGTTCAAACTGGAGATTCGAAGGGATGCTTTGCACAAGTGCGCAATCGCACCTCCTCCCCGTATGGATGGCGGGAGGAAGAGTCGTCGTCACGCTCTCATCGCAATCGGGTTCGCAATTGCTGTGCTCATTGTCGCTGTTTGCGCATCTTGTCTGCTCTGCAGCTGCCGCCGTAGGAAATGGCGGAAAATGGGGGAGGCCACCGCCGCATCATCGTCTCCAACCGCAGCGAGGATAATCGCCATCGGCGCTGCGCCGCTGTGCGAGGACGTACACGATCATGGGGGAACTAGCCCGCGCGCCTTGCTGGCTTTTCCCCAGACCACACTGTCAGATTCGAACGGCGACGACAGCGAGAGGCTCAATCCGACGCGCGTGGAAGAGTTCCCGCTCTCTACCCTCTCTTTCTGTACCCGCAACTTCGATCAAAGCCATCGAATTGGGGACGCAGGGGCGTTCGGGGAAGTGTTCTGGGGCAGGGTGGCTTTGAGGGACGTAGCAGTCAAGCTGATGAGAGGCAATCTGACGGCGGCAAAGAGGAAACAGTTTGTGGCGGAGGCCAACACTCTCAGCCGTCTGCATCATGCCAATCTCATCGAGCTAATCGGATATTGTCAGGAGGGTGATCGCGCCATGTTGGTTTACCCTTTCTTCCCGGGCGGGAGCTTGCACGCCCGCCTGCATAATCGCCCACTCGTGGCCGGCGTCTCCCCTTTTCCCCCACTCACTCTGTTCGAGCGCATGCGCGTCGTCCTACACACCGCGGAGGGGATTCGATACCTCCACCATGGCGCTGATCCCCCAGTCATTCATCGAGACATCAAGAGCAGCAACATACTCCTCAGCGATGGACTGGGCAAGGATCTTCGGGCGGTAGTTGCCGACTTCGGCCTCGCAAAGATTGTGAAGAGCATACTCAAAACGGAACCCGACACTTCAGCGTCCGTGTCAAGAATAGTGGGAACGCCGGGCTACATGTCACCCGAATATATTAAGCAAGGGAGATTGACGGAGAAGCATGACGTGTATGCGTTTGGAGTTGTTGTCTTTGAGGTAATTACTGGTAGATCGGCGCTCCTTGGGGAAGCGAGCGGACGGCAGACGATTGTTGACTGGATCCGTCCGTTATTCAGCGAAGAACAGGTGAATCTCACGACCTTTACCGTCGACTCTTCGATTCGTGATGACGTCATCAGGAGCTCTCACACCAGAAAGGTCGTGATGGACGCCCTCAGGCTGGCCCGCGACTGTACAGAAGACAAGGATTATCTAAGGCCGTCCATGAGCACGGCTGTCGAAAGAGTCGCGGCCATCTTGTCGGAATTTACAATGCAAGGAGGGCCTTATTCCACAGATTGAGGCCGTTGTCGAGCTGTGGATTGGTTACTCTGTTTTTGGATTTGTTGCCAGAGCAATAGATTTCCAAGACTTGACAAGCGGTCGGCCGATGGGATCGGAACATTGATTGATTGGTTGATCTATTCGTTGATTGATTGATTGATTGATTGATTGATTGAATCACCGATTGCAGGAGAGAAGAGGCCGTCCACTTTCGCAGTTGTTTAGAATTAGACAGCGGAGATGAATCCCTTCTTTTTAGTCTCTGTCGTGTTCATCAACACCGGTCTTTAAACTGTACAATTTCCTAGTCTAGATTGTACCCTAACTCGCACGCCTGCCTCCGCGTGAAATCAAGATGCGGAAGAGGTTTTCCGTTCAATGGTGCAGCCGCTATCCGTCTTTCAGATTAGATTCATGGACCTCGAGCCGTCTCAAGCGACGGATACGAGTTCTTGTCACTTGATTACGAACTAACCGCTCTCTGTCCTACTCCTGATTGGCGGGGGGCGAGGACGCCTGGGAGGTCTCTGTTGTAATGAATGGGTTATTTCTAATTCTAATATCTCAGACAAGAGTTACCATCAGCAATCAGGGACAACGCTTCAGCACACGCGTTCACGTGGTTTTGAGTAGTCATTGTGCAGGAGATGCCAAAAATATGCACTGGTAGGAAGGCGTAGAAAAGCGGGAGCACTTGAACTTCTTTCTTTTTTTCTTATTTTCTTCGCTCGTGTGTGTGTGTGTGTGTGTGTGTGTGTGTGTGTGTGCGCGTGCGTGGGTGTATGTGTGTGTGTACTGTTTCGTCGCACTTTCTTTTTTTCTATTTTCTTCGCTCGTGTGTGTGTGTGTGTGTGTGTGTGTGTGTGTGTGTGTGTGTGTGTGTGTACTGTTTCGTCGCACTTTCACCGACTCATCAGGAGCTCGAACGTAGACACTCCGCCCAGGACTATTTTGGCTGATGGATCACCATGACGCCAAGAGTTTGCGATACCCCTGAGAAACGTGGTCGACCTTACCCACACCAACCCTCTGCGTGTGTGTGTGTGTGTGTGTGTGTGTGTGTGTAGCGTGTGTGAGTGTAGCGTGTGCGTGTTTGAGAGAGAGAGAGAGAGGGCGTTGGGGAAGAGTGCCGCAGGGGTAGAGAGAGGGGGGGGGAAGAGAGAGAGAGAGAGAGAGAGAGAGAGAGAGAGAGAGAGAGAGAGAGAGAGGTGAGTAAATGGGGAATGAAATGGGAAGGGCATTGCATCGGAAAGTTGGAGAATAAAACGGCAGATTTTCTTGGTTGCTCAGGTGGGGACGTCAGCGAAGACAGTTAACTTTTCCTCGATCACATCGAATTTGAGAAGAATCTTGGACCCAACAGTCCATCCCAAATGTCTGCCAATAGTGCCGCCCTGAAAGATGGTGACAAGGAGAAAAAGCAGGGAAAAACAGATGGCAGGCCTACCTAAAATAACTGGTAGAAAACGCCTACCGAAAATCTTATTGGAACCTTTCTCGGCCTTTTGGCTAAGATCAAGTGTAGTATCTGTTCTAATCCGCGGTCCGTGGTCAACCGGGCCACAATGATATTATTAAATTCATTTTCTGGCCCTATGGAGTGGCCATACGTGTAACCTTGCTTGCTTGACCCCTCCCGCGTTGCCTCTGTATTAAATTGCAGCAGAGCGCAGCGCAGCCCTCAAGGGAAAAATAAACAAATTGAATGAACTGGGAACTCTTCGGTGAGTGCTCACCAACGCCGGGATGACCGAAAAACTCACCCAACCTCGGCGTCGCCGACTCGCCGCACTACCTCACCAAAATTGAACTCTCACCAAACCCATGTCCGGACCGAGGGCACTTTGGTGAGTAGTGCGGCGACGACGGGTTCTCACCAAAACTCACACTGCCCGGTACCGGTTTCGGGAGCGGGGCCGTGGAAACACCCATGGAACGGACTGGAGCGGGGGAGAGTGGAGAAGGCCGGGCGCAAAGCTGCGGACTCGGGAATGGCGGGGGAAGGCCGGCTTCGCTCGGGTACTGGTCACGTGCAAAATGGGAATGAATTTTTCGCTGGAACACGGAGATATACATAACTGTATTTTGTCTTTTTTGCATGCGGGGTTAGTAGTGGAGCGAGGCCCAGGTCGAAGAGTAGTGCGCATGGACCGGGGGAATGCCCGGATACAGCCTTGTGCCCTCGTGTGCCTGGGCAAGGATGTGGGAGGAGAGGGCGGAGGTGAGAAGACATGAGTCGGGCGCAAGCACACCAGGCGAGCCATCACCTCCGCCCACCGCGCGGGCTGCGGATACGGCATCTGCTCCGCCAACTAGGTGCGCCATCATCTCTGCTCAGTGCGACGACGACATGCCAAGAGCTAGAGCGGTCCTGCTGGCATCCCCGCTGCTCTGCATCCC